AACATTTAATAAATACTTTAGAGCTTTGAAGTGTGTCTGTCTCTCGGGTTTGATGGGGTTTTTCCCCTGACAATGTTCTGGAATGGAACATAAAGGAAGCCAAACTCTCTACAATTTTTCCATTTGGGATGTCATCCCCTGAGTCTGGGGAGATGTTGCACTGGATGGGAAAAGCTGTGTTACTGGATGGCTCTGTGCATTTCACCTTCATGCCCCTTGGGATACAGATAAATCAGGTTTCAAACCTAGATTTGTATATCAGCAAGATAGATATATAAAAGTAACTTGGATCACTTGATCCTAAATATATGGAAAGAAGTAGCATAATGACTTTTCTTGGGAATAGAATTTCTCAGGATACTAAGATACCTTCCAATAATGAGTGAAATTTGCCAGTGAAGGCCATGTAGCATGATATTCAGAATTCTTGTCTACTTTCACATTTAAATCTGGAAATAGTGTTGAAGGCACTATTTTTTTATTTCCATCTTCCTTTTTCTAAAGAGTTTGTGTGTGCATGTATATACATTTTGTATTAGTTCTTTTTGAGACATAGGAAAATATGACAAAAGATACTTCTGCAGGTATTCTCTTTGCATAGGGCTGAACAGTCTATCTCTGTTCTTCAAAGCAGATTGCTAGCAGCCTACAAGTCTCTGTCTAAAAACAAACCTTCCCTAATAATTTTTTTCCACCCATTATAAAGGCATACTTTACATTATACCTCCTCTGGGGAATGCTCTGCCAAAGAAGAAACGTGGCTGACAGCTCCCACTCTCTTCCCCTACTTTAATCAGTGTTAATTTGCAAGAAAGAATGAGTCAGCTCCTTTCCTGGTGTTAGCTTCCTAGCAAATGAATACTGTAGCTCTAGCTAGAGTCCCAATAGCTAAAAGCTTCCTTTTAATGGAGGACATGCTAGGGCATATTACGGAAATGTCCTAACATGTCTTCATTACAACAACATGTGTAACAAAATCCTATCATTATACAATAGCGTTGTATTTATGTTTGTTAGTGTAGCTGAAAATTTTAGATAAAAAAATTTAGATCTAGAATGAGAAAAATGCAATCAAGTCACTGTTCCTTAGATACACAGAAATATTTTCTAGAAAACACAAGACTTTCACACACTGTTGTACTCTCTCTGAAAATGGCCTCCCAGCATTGTTTTCTTTCCTTGATCCATGTCAAATATTGTATATCAATATAGTATTTGAACCTGAGATCATTTAATGATGCCAAATGATGGGAGATTTAGGACAGATGAAATTAAGTTCTTTGTTAAGCACACACATTAGAGAATTTGGTAATATGTACTGATAGTTGTTCAGATGGACAGTACTTCAGATGGATGTAAAGGGGGAGTGGATATGGAATTAATGGAAAATGTCCACATGAATGGCTGCCAATCATAATGTCTTGTTTCTTGCATCAGAGGTAGAATACCTGAGAAGAATAGTCATCAGAAAGAATGTTATTGCCTTTATGTTGTGGTTTTCCAGAGGTATTTGGTTAGCCAGTAGGGAAATAGCACATTCTGCTAGATAAGTGTTTGGTCTAATCTAACTGGGGTTTCTTATATTCTTAATTATTTATGACATGATGACATTATATTATACAATTCCTTGTCCCATTTCAAGGCCAGTGATGAATGTCCTATGCAAACAGCAGAATTACAGTAAGAAAAAAAGGACACAGGGACAAAATTGGCATGGAAGGACAGTGATACGTTTGATTCTTTGTATCTTGCTATTTGCTCCAGTGCAAATCACTTATATTTATTTTTAGAGCTGCAGCAGTACGGGTGCTGGTTGACATGGGTGGCTTCTTCACAAAAGCTCATCTACACTCTTATCTACAACCCCAGTTGATTACTGGAGACCTTCTAAACAGCTGAACGACACCCATATACTATAAGTGGGAAATAAAGGGGTTTGCCTTTTAAATATAAAGATTATTCTAGGAGATCCGTAATGAACCAGGTCCATTATTAGCAAGTATTAGTTCAAAACAGCGCCTGCATATTGTAAATTCCCCCTTATGTTTTACTCATCAGGCCTGCAGCGGGCCAGTGCAAGAGCACCTTCTCCTTACAGGAGGGACTTTGAAGCCAAGCTTCGCAACTTTTATCGAAAACTAGAAGCCAAAGGATATGGCCAGGGTCCAGGGAAAATTAAGTGAGTATTTGTTATTGATTCCTATCTGTTATTAACTATGCCTTAATTAACTTACAAATATGAATATTTTTTAAAAGGAATCTGGTTAGAGAAGATTTCAGTCTGCAAGGCAGAAAGAAATAAAGGAGGGGTAACAAAATATAAATACAGTTTAAGTACAAATAGTGATAATTGTGTTGTGAAGCCAGTTTATTTATTTTTTAATTTATTTATCATATTTATATAGCCGCCCATCTCACACAAGGTGACTCTGGGCGGCATA